CACACTCTGTGGGAATCTCGTATGAAAAATTCACTTTGCTTGTGTTGTTCCAACTTCCAAATGCTAGCACATGGTGCGAAGTAGGATTGCAATAACCAAAAAGCTCACATTGGGAATTTTTCTCTTGATCTGTCGTAGTCATACGCTCGCTCAGTTTAGTGAGTACAGACGGTAATGCATGTAGATCGAGTTCACTACGACCAATGTTCGAAGAGTATGATTGTAGGTTTTATGTGAACATGAAAAATTGGTCCGCCAGATGACAAGACAAATGGGATATCTTATTTCCAGTGGCTCCACTGACTCAAACTAGTGAATTTTTGAGCTTTTCAAATGTTTTTTATTTCCTAGGAATTTTTGTTTTTACAAATTACTGGTTCACTCTTGTTGAGCTTCATCAGAAATGCGAATTCATCGACCCGGCTGAGAATCCAACCGGGGACAACATCGTATAATCGAACCGAATCACCCATCATTCTCACGTCAAAAGTAGTTGGGTTCGAAATTTTTCGAACCGAGTAGTAATCCTACGGGTTGTTTCTAAGATGCGCGAAGTCTGATACCCACATTAGGCTTACAAAGATGGCTTAGGCTGTGTTGTGTACAGAAGAAAAAGTAAAACAGTCTAATCAGTTTCCCGTTGGTTAGGGGAGTGCTATGCTTGATTACTACCTGTGAGGTCCAGAGTTTGATCGATAATTCGGTCGAACTGAATTTACGGTGCCGCTTAGCTTTTCAGTCTGTCTTTTTTGGCTCTCTATATGATGAAATTCGCTGTATAAAACGGTTAAGTCATTCAGTACACTTATTCAAAGGAGTGTCCGTCAAGCTCGTAAAAAACCTGTTGAACAGACAACAAACAGAGACCTTATTGTGTTGTGAACTTCGGTCAAATATACCTCCTCCTCAAATCAAATTCTCTTTATAGAGTTTTTCCACAGCCGTATCTGCGTAGACAGAAAATGTGAGGAATTAGCTGAAGTTGTGTCTCACTGTTCGGGAATGGCAGCTAACCAACAATACAGTATAGTAGAAGAGAAAGAAAAAGCACGTGTCTCTTCAGGACCACTGATCAGTCCCAATCCGTTGATCAGTTCCGCCAGAAAGATACAACAAATCCTTTTGTCTTTACATATGCAAGCCACCATGACCTGATGGGAATCCCCCTCCTCCCCAATTATCCTCAAAATATACACCCTAGAACCTCACTTCTGCTAGGTCACTCATTCTGTCTCGCCCCAAAATCCGAGGTAAGCCCAACCCTTTTGCTAACAAATGAGATATTCTTCAGTTCCAAAAGCAGAGTACCCTCAGCTACCAATATCTATCACTCCCACTCGTTGCTGATCAACTCAGGCGTCACGTGGAACTGGGCAATTTTCGGCATCATCAACTTACCGGAGTTCTTGTGGTGCTAATTTAGCTCCCGTAATCACCATAACTCGATAGTCAGGTAGAAACCCTTATTGCGTTGGTGGATCTATCGTGTACAAATTTGATGGTTTAATTACCGATTTTGCGCTTCCCGTCAGAATTTGTGTTCTATGTAGCAATTACACTCGATTTTCCCTTGAGTCGACAGGATCACTTTCCTTTCCATACTACTGTATACTGGCTTCCCCCAAGATTCTATACTGTTTCCATGCTCTTTTTTCTTTGATGACCTTTTCCCCTTACTCCATCCACACTGATACCACCACTTAACACTCTTCTTTATCCAGATCATTTTCTTGCGGCGTTAACTACAGAAGTAGCAGCGGCCGCTGTTCCGTCAGTGGCTCCATAAATTTTGATCTGTGTTTTATTTATTCTGCAGGCTGTCACAATAATAATCTCTTTTTGCCGTTTAAACCTCTTTTGTGCTTTATTATTCTGTATGGGATCCTTGATTCCACCCACTCCTCCCCACCCACCCCCCACACACGTACATCAAATTTTTCCGTTAACTTTATTTGCCCCACAGGTTCAAGCAACTTATTTGGACTATTCATAACTTCTCTGCTTTGGTTACCTTATACCAAATGGTTCGGGGTGGGTGTCTATGGTTACGGCTGGTCACCCTTCCCTGCACCTCGCGAAGTGCTCCCATAAGATCAAGCGTCTCAAAAAGTCTCTGCTGAGGAAGCCCTACTTACTGCCTTCTCGTAGTGGATGTTTGCCTACCAAAATGAGAGGACGAAAAGCCGACATCTGGGGCTTTAACCGGGTTGGTGAACCACTGGTAGCTCACCTAGGGGATTAGGCCGAAAACCCTGATTCCAAACCAAACAAGAAAAGGTATATGAACCACATACACCTTCCTGGTTGTCGCTGTGGTCTCCGGCGCGATTAGGTATCGAGGTATATTGGGCACCTTGGACGTTTGATCCCGTCCAAAGGGCGTATGATTCGATGAACTACATGCCGGCCCCCAACGGATCGCGGGTT